TAAATTTAAAAATTTTTATGACATCAAATATTATTTATTTATTTGCAAATCAAAACATTTTAAAATTCTCGTGTTTTGTTTTGTATTGCGCCCGCGATATATTAATGGTATTAATCGCTGTGAATATGATAACATTTTTGTATCTGCGCAGCAGATATACTATGCTATCGAGTTTGCGAAATCTGTTAGCTGTTTAGCTGTTAGCTTGCAGCCAATCAGTGTCTAGTATTTTAGCTTGTGACCGTCCCTAGCCAATCAGCGCACTATGCGGAAATGACTATTCAGTGTAGAACATATAGATCAGTGACAAAACCGTAGAATCGCAGCAGCCTGTTCGCAGGCTAAAATGCTAAATCAACATGGCGGTACGTTTCGAGCTAATTTCGAGGAGTACTTTATATATTTTTACTCTTGTCGACTTGAACTGTGTTTGAAGTGTTTTTGTTTTAAGCTAAGAATTAAAGAATCATAATCAACAATTTTCAATGTACTAATGTGTAAACAATATTCAATGTAGGCTACTAGTGTTTAAACATGAATGCAATTTCTACGATGTATAAAATAATAAAATTATTAAAATATAAAGAGCTATATTTCCAGCAAAAGTTTTTTAATATGTATGGTATTGCTACTAACTATTATACGACCAAAAAATTTGAATGTGTATGATTGACCTGTTTGCTGCAGTAATTTATGTTCCTTGAATAGTTTATGTATATTACTCAAGTCTCAACAGTTGACGTTGGAAAATCCAAATGTAATCCATGCATTATAAATGTAAACAATTGACAAAAATTTGCTTCATGTGATTTTATATACAATAAAGTTTTGAAAAACTGTCAAAATTCTATGAGTATGGATCATTGACATATATATGATTTCAATGTAAATGTTAACTTCTATATATATTGTTTATTGTTTAAATTTGGATGCTATATATATGTCAATGGTATGGATTGTGACAACACCTGCTATCCTGACTCTATGGCATCTAAAATGTTTTGCATATCTCGATTATATGGCAATGATAAAGAAGATTGTCAAGTTATCAGTGTGACATCCCAGTTTATGTATCAACATTATGATGTCACAACTCAGTTGACCTATTAAGGAAACCTTTGTTACTGTTATGGTAATAATCCGAAATACTACTGCAAGTGGAATTTATAGCAGCTATTTCATTCAATATGAAAACTAGATCTGAAAACTTTGTTCTATTGTATATAATATATGCTAGTGATATTAATTTTAAAAGTATTGTATTTTGTGCAAGTGTAGTATTGTTTGAATGGAATTTGTATTTTGTGACTACATGATTATTCGTTATGATCAAAATGACATTGTGAAATTAGTATGTTAAATTCTCTTTCCCCTGTTTACAGCCCTGGTAGATGTGTATTATGCTTGATCTTAATATCTAATTTGCTATTATATAAGTGATGAAATATATATTTCAATTGTTCATTGGTGTCACAGATGTACATCTGTCTAAACTACAACAGCTACAAAATACAGCAGCACGTCTTATCTGTTCTATCCCTAAACATGATCACATCACTCCGACTCTCATCAAATTACACTGGCTTCCTGTTCAATTAAGGATCAAGTTCAAAATTGCTATGCTTGCTTTTAAATGTATCCATCAGTATGCACCTCTCTATCTTGTCAATCTTTTAAAAGTAAGAAATACATCATGCTATAGTCTAAGATCTAACACAGGCACATTGCTTGAAGACTATAGTACAAAAACAAAGAAAACACTTGGCGACAGAGCATTCGTAACCTCCACTCCAAAAATCTGAAATGAATTACCTATGTATATAAGAAATCTGCATAACTTTAGTATTTTCAAGAAATTAGTTAATTAAGACTTATTATTTTCAAGAAGCCTTTAATGTAAATACTTCATGTAACATATAATCTATATAATCTTGTTTATATTTTTAGAATCATTTTAGTGTGATTATGTTGTGATGCGCATTTGATCATATACTATAACATGTTAATTTGTGCTATATAAAATATTAAATATTATTATTATTATTCATTTCCTTTCAAGAAAATACTAAATGTGACTCAGAGTTTTGCGCAGATTCACGTACGCGTAGCGTATTTGTTATGGTGGAACATGGAATATGTGTATATACCCCAATTATCGTGTCTACAATCCTGGACAAAAATAGTGGCAAAAAACAGTTTATTGCTTCAAAATATAATTTTAAGACATTTTTGCCCCAATGATCCCCCCTTCCCCCAATATCAATGTTTTGCCAAGTTATCTGGCCTCGAATACATCGATCAACATTGATATTAGGGGAAGGGGGGTGAAATTCGATGAATTTTCTTAGTTTTTAGCCTTTTGCCAATAATTTATGTCCAGGATTGTATGAATTTGAATGGGAAAAATTATGGAATTTTCCCATACATTACTCTCGATTTTAGCCCGCTTTTAATTTTTTTTACCACTTTAGTTTGTAGTTTGGCAAAATATATTATGACCTTGTTAATTTCATTACAAAGTTCAAACTTCCTATTTAAAACTGCGCATGTGATTGGCCATTTGAATAAGGGTTTGCCTAATGTACTTCCGCTAGTTTTTGGCGCCAATTTTCAAAGTACTTCTCATAGGTTTGAACATTGTTAAGATTTAATATTATATACATTAAATACGATATAATGGAGAGCGGTGAAGCTAGCACGAGTTTTAACGAAGAGTCGAATCAAATTGACTTTAATTCGTCACTTAGTGAACGTGAGAACCGACGGATATACCTCATAACTTACGCAAGGGCAAATTTAGATAGATTTCCGAATTGTCTGGCATTTTTCGACATTGTACTAGAGGCTTTCAATAACGATAAAAGTAGCAAGTGTCCAGTGGGCCTGCTGCATAGAAGATAATGCCAACGGGGCAAAACATTTTCACATGGCTGTTAAACTGGATGGAACGAGACGATGGAATCCTGTCAAGAATTTTATTTACAAAAAATACGGCATAAGTTGGCACTTCTTGTCAAAACACTATGGGTATGTCGCAGCGTACAGATACGTATGCAAGGCGAAAGATCAAACAGAAGTACTACACAGTCCAGAACATCCCAATATGGAGGTTATAGGGTCGCCTAGAACTAAAAAGGCGATGCACGTATCATCGTCATCCAATGGGCGCCGGAAACATTCCACTGGGGACGAGGGACAACAATGAGAGGCGGTAGAATTTATGGTGTCAAACAATATCAGAAAAGAATCTGAGCTGATGCAAGTTGCTCTGCAAAGAAGCCAAAACGGGGAAAAAGATTTGCACGCATTCATCCTCAACAAAACCCCAAAAGCCTTCACAGACCTTATTGAGACAACATGGAAAATACAGGAGGCTCCTGCAAAGGTCGAGCGAGAAACAAGCTGTCGCATTTCTCTAATTTGTGAAGCTGCAGCGAAAGAATGCGTTTGTAACGGCGAATGGATGCGTTGTTCAAGAGAAGTCCTGGCCAAAAACCACATAAATGTGTCTGCTTCTGCCTTGCGGCAATGTTTTATAAAGGGGAGGAAAAAGAACACAAATGTCTTGTTGGTTGGACCTACAAATTGTGGAAAATTATTTTTGCTTGCCCTATAGAACTGATATTCAAAGCGTTTGTGAATCCGGCTACCGACAAATACGCATGGGTTGGCCTCGATGAATGTGAAGTGGCCTACTTAAACGATTTCAGGTAGACACCTGAAATCATCGCATGGAGTGACTTTTTGTTACTGTTAGAAGGGCAAACAGTTCATCTTCCTCGACCGAAAAACCAGTTCGCAAGGGATATGTTGATAGACAGAACAAACACTATTCCTTTCTTTGGCACCAGCAAGGAGCCTATAGAGTTCATAGGCAAATACAACACTCGCGACGAAAGGGAAACTGACATGATGTCTTCCAGATGTCTTACCTTTAATTTTTCCCACCAGATCCTTGGAGAACAGATAAAGCACTTAGAACCGTGTACCACCTGCTTCAGCAAGTTGGTACTACTAGGATCTGAGGCTGATTCCAACGAGAATGTCTAAAACTGTGAGTTATGAGACATGTTCGCCTGTCACCAACATGTTATCAACGTGTCACCAACGTGTCACTAAATTTATTATACTGAAATTACTCTACACAAACGTGTCACCAGTATTAGTATAAGTAAAGTATATATACTTTATATATAATTTTGGTGACACGTTGGTGACACGTTGATTTACTATATATGAAGCACAATTATCTTGGTGACATGTATGGTGACACGTTGGTGACACGTCAAATTGAAATTGTGAGCAAAAAACTATTGATGGGAATTATTAGACGAATTTTAATTCATATTTAGTCCGTATGCAAAACTATTGTAGAGAATTAGCAGTTTTTATTAATACTTAGTCCGCGCCCCATGCAATTGTATTGCATTTACCATTCTCTGTTTCATTGATTCAATGGTTCTATTAATGTAGCTGATATCTATGCTTTCAATCGTTTTCTTCACTCTTGATGAAAACTGCTCGTAGTTCTCGTTTTCAATCTTGAGTTCAATATCATCTTTCTTCAACTGCCTGCGAGCAACATGGAACATGTTCTCTATAGGATTGAAATCTGGCGACCTGGCTGGGATATGAAAGTAGGTGTACACCATTTTCTCAATCCGTTTCTTCGCTTTTGCTGATACTTGCTTTGGGTCTCCGTCCTGAAGAAACATCTTGGCCGTTAACTTCTTGGTTTTGCAAAATGCAGTTGGGAAGTGTTTCTTGATGAACTCGGCTATAAATTCTCCGGTGACGGATTTGCATGTGTATTGCTCGCACAACACCACTCCTCTTTCGTGTGCTATTGCCACAAAGAAGCAAGCCATTCTACCACCTCTGCCTTCTTTTCTACCCTTCGTAGTTGACAATAAACATTCTTTAGGCTTTCTCCACGCCATGTTGGTTGTTGACCTAGCCTCTCCGGATGGGTGGTACTTGTGGGCGAAGTTAACGCCATCAAAATAAAAAGCAATTTCATCCGTCCAAAACTTTATCCCCGAGCCGGCGGCGCGAAGCGCCGTGCGAGGGTACTAATTCCCCCCGGCTATTTACACCCGGGGAAACGAAAGCATTAGCCAAGTCTAAATTTCATCAAATATCGCGGGCGTGACCAACGAACCTTGAGTGGGTGGTCATCCTCACTGATCTCAAAAATATGGCGGACTGTCATGGATAGCGAACACTGATTGGTCAAATTTAAAATTTGTTGTTGTATGACAAATGACGACTTCAACTGACAGATACTTCATGAAAATAATTTGCTTTTTACACTACAGTATTTTGTACGTTTGCAAAAAGCTTTGACAGCTTTCAAAGCAATTTGTTCTATAAAAAGTTTAAGAAAACAATTACGGTATCAAATACCAATTGAAAAGATATGGAGCCAAATGAAGAGCGGCAAGGAAACGACAAGAAAGCCGAACGTCTAGCGAAAAGGAGGGAGCGAAGACGACAACGTTTGCTCGAGGAGACTGCTGAGGAAAGAGAAGCTCGCCTGGGAAAGCGTAGAGAAGCATGGAAAAGACTGCTGAAGCGAAAGGTAAGAAAAGGCTTGTCTTCACGACGCTATGTAGTAATCTACTAATGTTTCTGTAGCTATACAAGTTGAAGTATGATATTCGACCCTCTATATTCGACTGTTTCTTCACAATTTTCCAATAAAGAGTTTGTCATGACACGCTCAAGTCAGTATAACCAGACTGTATTTTATTTATATCAGTTATCACAGCCACAGGCAATTTTATGGTGTCAAATACCGTCGGTTGCAACTAAAGGTGAACAGTTGCAGATAAAACATTCTCTATTCTTATTAAAAAGCCTGTAAAGGTTTCTAGTAGGTCTCTAGCCCAACACGTTCAGACCACACAAAGTTTTTTTTTACTTATTATTGTACACATGGGAAACAACAATTAAGTGTTGTTGTTCTTGACAAACATTGGAGATTCTAATCACGCAAATGTTTTTATGAGCAACTGTTCATCGTTAGTTGCAAGCGACGGTACAACATACTAAACATTTTTCCGACTGTGACCGAATGTGCAACGATATAATTTTCAAAGTTGTTATCAATTCCTAAAATTTGTTTATAGTAAAAATGGCCTGCTCAGCACTCACTACTCACGTTGATCTGATTTCATTTAGAAATGCAGTTACCGGGAAAGGAACTGATTCTAAAATATGTAAATTTAAAAGCATTGGCTAACAGAATAAAGCGATCGATGAAGACAAGGTACAAACTTTTATAGTTGCTATTTGTTATAAAATCCTATAAATAAACCGATTCAACAATAATTTTGCCTCGAATTTGCATATTCTATGCTGCATATTTATATTTTATTTTTATAGTATAAAAATAAAATTGTAATACTATGAAATAAAATACATTTCTGTTTATTCACCAGTACTTATTTAATGTCTTCTTCATCCAGTGGTCAGAGTAAATTTCTACTTCTAGCAAGTAAATATTTGACAAGCAGTCTGGAATAAGCACAGGACTTTTAATGCATCAGCCAAATCCAAGTGTGTCCATCCCCCTCGCCCAGCCATTTTCCTGTAAAGCACAT